CGGTTTCACATTGGGGACGTTTCCCTCCATTTTGGACGCGCCGTGTCGTTGTTAAATGATGTTGGCTGGGGAGGATTTGTGGATCGGTGACTCTTCCGTTCCCTTTGTCCCCACCCTGCAGGACCCGCACTCCCAGGCCCGCGCCCAGCTCCTTTTTTGACAGATAACTGGGTGGCTTGACGGGTGCCGCCCGTGGGGAAGCAGAAAAGGCGCGGCCGCTTGGCGGACGGGCAAATGGGGTTGCAGAGTTGACTGATTCGCGCCGGTTGCCACTGGCCTTGAGGGTCGTGGCCGACCAGCTGTGGGGACTCTCCACTGCGGGCCAGGATTGCTCGCTGCGTGTGTTGCATTCCCTGTGTTTCCGCACACCCCCAAAACGGGTCGTCAGGTTGGCGGTGTTTCCGCACACCCCCAAAACGGATCGTTAGGTTGGCGGGCTCTCGCTTAAGCTCGATCCTCTTTTTTCACCTTTTTTAAGGCATTTTAAAAAATGCTTCATAATGACACCTTCCAGGAGTCTCAAGGGGCACTTAGTAAGCACTGGTTCCAGGCGCTTCATCAAAATGATTGTATGGCCTGGTCGGGAGTCAGGCTGGGATACTCAGAACGACCCAGTAGCTACACTGGACAGCGCTTGGAGGAGCTAAGGGTTCATCCTGGGGCGAGTGAGCTTGCTCACCTGCTGTGTGAGGCTTGGACGCTGGCCAGAGCCGAGCGTGACTCCCACTCCGGGTTAGCACACAGGGAATTTGCAAATAAACACGGGCAAATCTGGAATTACACTTTGTAACAGCGGCTGTGATGGGGGTTCCGGGAGAAGAGCAGCGGGGCCCTGCTTTGGGCTGGGCAGCACGTCCAGTTCGTTTCGTTTCTGAGAGCCGTCTGGGGAGGAGGGAGTACGGTGAGCAGGAGGGGAATGATCTTTCCCTTCAATCTGTATTTCTTAGCGGACCGTTCAGGCCATCTTGCCACTGCAGTCAGGAAGGTTGCATTTCTTTTGCATCCTGCAGCGGGGGCACGGAGCCAGGCCAGGGGTTCCTTTTGGTAAGCACTGGTGTTTTACCCCAGTAGGCCAGCCTTGGGTTCAGGTGTTGAAGGGAAGCCGTCAAACTTCACTTGAGCTTCCCTTTTTCTGCCACACTGAGATCAATTTGGAGAAGTGAAGGGAAGATAATCGGAGACCTTAAGTGTTACTCTGTGATCCATACAGCACAGCGGCATTCTGTCATGTTGATACAAAGTAACATGTTGGAGCCCAGACGCCTGAGGAGTCCAGTGCCAGCTGACACTGAAGTTAGCGAGCATGTGCTTGAGGGTCCTCATATTTCCACTGCTTATGGCGAATGAGGAACTTGTGTTCAGTAAACAGTTGTTTTCTTTACACGCTTGGCTAAAACATCCCTTATAAGGAGAGCGTATCCACGTGTGAGTGCATGACACGCATTTGTGTCCCATCCTGGCTAAATCATTCCTGCAGGAGACTATGCTAGTCTGTGATTGCACATGTGACAATGGTGCTGGGATCTTGTGCAAAGTGGGGGTGGATATAATATTACCGGCTTCATCTTTTGCAACATTCATGTGTGAGATAGTCATCTCCTAAGGAGAGTTCTAGTTTGTTTGTTATTTTCCAAACACCATATGAAACCCCCGATTCTTAACTTTTATTTAATTGAGCTTAGAGACCTAACAGATACCCACCAGATTTCTTAATTTGTTTAACCCAAAATGTTTAATTGGTCACAGAAAGATGCCAATAAATAAATTTTCAAAAAGGTACAGAATCTGCGCAAGGGCCTTTTAAAAAAAACTGGTGGCCCCTGAGTCCTGAGAGACTGGGTTTCAAAAGTTCGTAAAAAGTAGTTTGAACCTTGAATGGCACCTCCATGTGGAAGGATGCGATTGCCTTCTTTCAACCCTGGTTGACCCACCTTGGACAACTACTATGAATAACAATGGTTTGATTTTAGGGGGTCCAGGAAGGAAGAGGGGCACAGGGAAGAAAGAAGGAGGGCACATTTCCTTCCTCTTTCTTCGAATTTGGAGGCTCAGGCTAAATGTTGAAATAGGCAAAGCTTGATGTTGTCACCTTCCTTTTTTGTGACCCTCCTCCACTCCCAAGGTGTTCACTGCCTCCTGCTTTCCCCAGTGCCCCTCAGGTGACTCCTCAGCCAGGTGTGACTTCATCCCCAAGCTTCTGGGCTCCTCCAAGCCAGACCCCTTCTCTGCACCCCGGGGATGCTATTTCTGTAGGTGCTGGGAAGAAAGCTGTCTCTTTTACCTAACGTGTGAATGGGCTGACACCCTCTAATTACCAGATAAGTAATTGTGTTTTCTTTCATCTACCAACCTAGCTACTATCTTTCTAAACAAGTGAAGCTTGTTAACTTTTTTCTCAGGCATTAACAGTAAAGAAACTGGTGCTTATGAAAGATTTTTTTTTTCCTCGGGAGGGGTGGGGTACTGTAACTGTGTCCTTTCTTAACTCCACAGTCTTCAAAAGTTCTTAAATTTCGTTACTATTGTATAATCAGCTCTTGAAGGAGCTGGGAGAGGACTGTATGTTTATGTTCCCAGACAATATATCGGGAATTGCTTAGTTGGTAAATGAGGGAGGTTCAGGGGGAGACTTTTCTGTCGAGCGGCCTCTTCTTAGACTGGGCCCAGCCGGTTCGGTTGGTGTTGGAGGAGGTCAGAGGCACTGGTTTTGTCACGTGAAAGTGTCGGTGGCGGGGAAAGCTTTACTGCCTGAGAGCTCGGGGCACCCAGCAGCAGTCAGTTGATGTTCAGGAAGGGGGCAAACAGGCTTCACGACAGTGGCGATTCCTACGGGTTGCTTGTGGCTTCTTAGAGTGTCGTTTATCGAAGGCTTCGTGGGCTGTGTTTGGAGTGAGTGGAAGAGAATGTTATGCCTTGGGGTCCATGTCTGCTGTAGGCTTGCGGGAGATGAGCCAGCTGGGATGAGGGCCAGGGACGCGCTCGCCCAAGTGTGACGTCAGCGCAGTTACTTGGTTTGCACTTGGGACTTTAGCTGTGAAAGGAGAAAGCTTTATCGAAGAACCCCAAATTCGCTACTCATAGATTTGGATTTTTTCCCTCCTTGTTGGCGGATTACAGTGATGTTCATTATACATCATTGATTTTCCCAGACAGTGTTTCATTAAATTTTCGTTTTTAATCAAGGTAATTTGTTCAACATTAAAGGCATTTTAAAGCTTTATAGGACTACATGCAAATTTATAAATCGGAAAATGCACCCTTTGTGAGATTGTGCCTGGTCGATTAGCAAGAAAAATGGTCACTGTAGGCGATAGTGTTTCACACAGGTGTTTCGTCACTTGATGTTTTGTCATAATTAATGCGCAGTGTCACGTGCACCGCAGTGGCCGAATCGTCCTGTATAAAGTGATTCCCCATGAGCTATGGTGTGGCTGGGACAACTTCCCCTGTGTTGTCCTAACTCTTCCATTTCACGCGGCTGTTTTTAGGCCCTCGGACAAAACAGTTACCATCTTTAAGTCTCAGTCTCTCACAGTCTCCTCCAGAGGCCTTCCTGGCCCCCAAATTTTGACGTTAAAATTTCGGAAGGTTGTATTTTAGTGTCTAACCTATGAAAAAAAAAAAAAAGACAAATCTAAGTATGTATACATTGACTCTATTTTTTTTTTTTCTTTAAAACTATCCAGACTGACTTTCAAAAATGCCAAGTAGGAAATTTGCCGACGGCGAGGTGGTCAGAGGTCGATGGCCTGGGAGCTCGCTTTACTATGAAGTGGAAATTCTGAGCCACGACAGCAGCTCCCAGCTTTACACTGTGAAATACAAAGATGGAACCGAGCTCGAACTGAGAGAGAATGACATCAAGGTGAGCGCTGGAGCACGTTTACAGCTAGAGGGCTCTGAACGCGGTGCGTTTTTAAGTTTGCAGTAGTCAGTTCTGACTCTGTTTGGAGGCATGCGGTCATGCTCCTGCTTTGGGTCCGACCTTGTTCGGGGCTCAGGGACGTCAGGAGCTCCCAGTCTGCTGGAGAAGACGTACGGCAGTGGTCATCTCCCTGGGGTAACGTGTTCTGTGACAGGCATGTGTCCCGGCTTAGGGAATGGACGCCCTGGGTTTCCGGGAAGGCTTTCCGAGGTGGTGACACCTGAGCTGAGTGCTGAGACCAAATAGGAGAAACTCAGGGGGTGGAGGGGGCAGCTTTGAGGAGGGCAGGTGCCAAAGGCTTAGGATGGGGGGACACAGACAGCCGGGTGCTGGGAGAGTGTGCCAAAACATGGCAGGAGGAGTTGGGCTTCGTCCCAAACACCAAATCCCAAGCACTTAATCAGGAGAGAGACTTAGATTTGAGTCTGCCGTGGGCTCCTTAACCCATCTCGTGAGGGCCTGGGCTTTGAAATATCCGATCCGTGGTGTACAAGTATGTATGTAAAATACCATCACAGTGAATTACTAGACAAATGAAAAAAAAAAGATGCACAAGGTAAGTTTTAACTTTTCAGGATCAGATTCAACAGACATGAAATTACTTTGTCGAAATACTATAGAAATTTCTGTACACCTGTTTGCAATTCCGTTCCTTGTCGCGGATCAGTAACAGTTCTCGAACCCATAACCTACGGACCGCGGTTCGGGTTTGAGTGCTCTATACCCGAGGTCGGCAAGGTTTTTGAATAAAGGGACAGGTCGTAAATATTTGCGGCTTTATGGGCCACATCATTTCTGCAGTGCCGCCACAGCTCCGGGCAGTCTGGAAGGGGCTGTGTTCCAATGAAACCTTATTTCTGGACACTAAAATCTGAATTTCAGATAATTCTCACATGTCGTGGAGTCTCATTTTTCTCATCTTGTTTGCAATCAGTTAAACAAATGTAAAGCCATTCTTAGCTCCTGGGCCACACAAACACAGGGGTTAGGGGCATTTGACCCGGGAGGGCTCTGGAAACACAGGGCGAGGGCGGGCAAAACGTCACGATGTCATCCAAGTCGTACTCATTTTCAAGATCTGCCTGTGTGTTTTGTTCAGAGTGGAACTGTGGGACGAATTTTCTTGTTATCTCGCGTGTGCATATTTCTTCTGTTTCATCGTCTCGGTTTTCATCAGTGTCCATTGTAACACTTGTTGTATATGTTCTTGGGAAAATGTACAGCTTGTTGGTTTAGACACATTCATTTCATGGCAATACCTTCAAAGATCTCGTAAAGGCTGCATTGGTCTCGTGAGAGATGGGCCGTTAGAGCAGCCCTCCCTGGCCTCATCTGGTCCAATCAGATCCCTGGATTTCCTAGGATGGTTTTTGAGTCAATGGTACCCATCGCCTTTGCGACCCTCTTCTTATTTGGGTTCCGTCTGAAGGTTTTATGACTTGTAAAGCTCTTTGCTTTCTGCTTCTTTCTAGCCTTTAACTTCCTTTAGGCAAAGGAAAAGTGGCTCAACTTCCAGTTCTCCCTCCCGCCGCCGAGGGAGCAGGTCAAGGTCACGCTCCCGCTCCCCTGGCCGACCACCTAAAAGTTCCCGCCGCTCTGCCTCTGCTTCGCAGCAGGCCGACATTAAGGAAATGAGGAAGGAAGTGTTGGAAGTGAAATTGACTCCACTGGTGTTGGTACGTGTCCACATCTTTGGGAAATCGTTATCCTTAGTGCAGGCTTGAACCTGTCCAAGACGCAGTCTTCCCCGTTGTATGTATGTTTACTCATATTAGTCGCAATTAAAACGTCAGTGAAACATGAGGTCTAAGGTGATGACTTTGGAAGATTACATCAAAAGTGGATGTTTGGGAAAATAGAAGGTATAATGCTTTTAAATACCAAGGAAAAAGAATGTTTTTAAATTACGGGAGTACTATTCACTATTGTGGTTTTTTTCAAAACAAGTAATTTTTAAGTATGAAGGAGAGATTGTAGTTTTATAGTATGTAAAATGAGACATAACTGTATGTTTTAGAAACATTCTTGCTCTCAGCATCAGTACAGTGTAATGATCGCTTTCTCTATTCAGAGGTGATCATTTTAATGGAATTGCTTTGAAAGCTCAAGCTTGGAACTCTCAGAATATATGGAGTCTATAGGACCTTGCACAATGACAATTTTAGATAGTAGACCAAATAGAAATTATTTTTAAGTGAAAAAGAATTGAATAAAGGTCATTTTTTTCTATTTATTTAATGTTACCTCTTTCTGAATAAAATACAGATTTTTAACAACCTTAGAAAATGGATTATGTACATAGTATTTTGTAGTATGTACAGACTTTTAAATTTTAAAATATCGGGAATAATCTGCATTATATTTTTCTACATCATTCTTGTACAGTATTGTTTGTATAAACCATAAATTATACAGATGTAACATAATGTTTAAAGTCAGCTTCATTATTGATAGACATTTAGCTTTTTTCCTTCCTGAATTTCCATGGTTAAAACGAATATTCTTCTACAGTATCTGCTATTTTCTTAGGATAAATTCTTACAAGTAGAACTGCTAGGTCAGGTGCATAGAGCAGATTCGAGGCTTTTGATACATATTGCCTAATTGCTTTAAGAAAGTGTATACCAGCATCAGTAGTGCGTGAATGCCCATTTTCTCATTCTAAGTATTATAATAATAATTTTTTTTGCCAATATGATTGTCCAAGATTCTCAACTCACTGTTTTAACTTGCATTTTGATAATTACTCATGAGTTTGAACATTCTGACTATTATTTGTGGCTCTCATTATTGGTCAGCTGACTCAGATTAAGAAACAGGTGGTGTGTGCTACTTTCTGTCACATTTTCATTTTTAGCCTTTAGTGACCATTAAATTTTTATAGTGTAGCCTTCTTATAGTCCTGGTGACCCAAGAGCCACAGGCTCACCAGCAGAGCCCTGGGCCCACCGCGTACCCACCGCAGTCGAGGATGGTGTGTTGCGTGGGAAGGACCATACTTCCGCTGCATATAGCTTTGAACGTCAAGTTAGCCTTGTTCTTGTTGACTCGTAATAGTATCTTTCGCAGTAACTGGCCTCACTGCGTGAGTATCCCGTCAATTTGCAGTAGGCGCGGTTTCGGGTCGGCTAACTAGCTGTGTTACAAGATTGCTCTTGTGGTTACTGTAGGTTATATATTGGACATTTGAAAAACAGAGTGTAGTTGTATGTGGTATTTAGGTGGGTCCGTTTGCTATGACGGGGCTGTTGGCTCTTGGGTAAATTTGAGAGTATGTTGCCCGTTATCACTGTTCAGTTAGACTTCGATTTGAACTGGACTTGATACTGTATTAATGCTGTCCTTTGCCAGCTCTCCTCCCCAAGGGTACACTTGGGTTTTTAATTTGTTTTCCTCCTCTTGCTTTATTAGTGTTATAACTTGTCAGTGAAGGAGCAAAGTGACAGATTTCAGCCATGCATTGCCTGAAAAATCTTTTGCAAGCTAAAGCACTTCTCCTGCTCAGTCTGACGAGAAATTTCCTCCACTGCTGGAAGGGCATGCACGTTCCAGGGGAGAGACTGAGTCCAGAAAAGGGACGCAGGGAGAGAAATTTCAGGTCAAGAAAAAACCAGGCAGCGAGAAATTCAGAAAATAGTCAGTGCGTAGGTCACGAGTAATACTCCATACGTACCCACTATTTCTAAACTTCCTATCATGGGCTATTTGGGGGCAGCGAATGTCTTTGACATTATAATGCTCAGTCTAATTATTTTTAAAAGATGAAAGATGTCATGTGGAAATCTGTAATATCAAATCCAATCTTTTGAAGACTGAGAAATTCTTGTTAATTTTATCTTTTTTCATTTTTAACAAAAGTAGACAATTCTTCAGAATTGAAACTGAACATCTTTGGTTTATTTTATCGCTTGATTTCACAATAGTAAAATTTTGCCATCGTGTTCTTTTTCAATATGTTTTGATTCTCACGGTTAAAATGCTTTATATTCTTCAATGTAGCAGCCATTTGGGAATAGTGTCAACAGGTACAATGGGGAGCCTGAGCACAGGGAGAGGAATGACTTACCACGCAAAAACGCACAGGTACGAACGCGCTCGTTTTCATCTCGCGTAATTTTTTAGTTTGCTAAAATGACTTTCCCTAAGGAAAACCATAATATTTCTTACATAATATTGAAAATCATAATATTTCTTACAATCGTTTCTAGAATTTTGCCCTAAATTAAGGATTAATATAATCGAACACATTCATTCTTATTAGTATCTGGCTACCTTAAGATGCTGGATTAGTTAACGATAATTATTGACTACAGATATTTAACACTTTTAATTTTTTAACTAGGAGAAATTCCATTTGTCAGAAGAAAGTAGTTACATATCTGCACAGTACGGCCTCCGTCCAAGAAGAGAAGAGATGAAGTTAAAAGAGCTAGATTCCAAGGAAGAAAAACCTGTTACAAAAGGACCTACATCGTTGAGAACCTTTGAGATGGCAGCCACACAGAAGAAGGACTTAGAGTTTGGAGGAGTACCTGGTAGGCATCAGGACCGGGCTTAGGGAGGGCACCTTTCTCTGGAGAATTCTGTAGCTGGCCAGGTAATGAGCCAGGTGGGAACCTGGGGAAGAGCCTTTCAGTCAGAAGGAGCACGAGGGGCAAAGGCCCGAGGTGGGAGCATTTCTGCGGATTATCACAGAGCAGAAAGGGTGCCAATGTGGCTAAAAATAAATCTTCTAGCAATTAGTTAATAGGTTTTGAGCAAAGAAGCACGAAGACATCATGAAAGGAAAGTCGATATCAGAGTTGTCTACAGGAAGGGTGGTGGACGATTAGGGCCGGGGATATCTGCTAGTCATCAGACCTGAGGTGACAGGGCCTGGCGTCAGAGCAGTGAGAAGCAGCTTCAGGCATAAAACACCGTCTACCTGCTAGACAGGTTGATTATGAGAGTCTGAGATCTAAGTGTTCAGAGGCACGGAGTTATTAAGTGGGTGGTACTGGTGAAATTTTATGAGCTAGTGAAAGAAAATACGTCTTGGCCAAATGGTTTGAAATCCCGCAGGGTTTAACTGCTTTGTATTTTGTCATTGTAACCATTGGCCAGCTGGTCCCTTAAAGATGGTGTCCAGCATCACTGAAAATCAGAGCACATGTTACAGGAATGTGATACTATTTTAACTGTTAAGAAACTTAAGGACATAAAGTGTTTTTTTTTTCGCAGGGTTTAACTGCTTTGTATTTTGTCATTGTAACCATTGGCCAGCTGGTCCCTTAAAGATGGTGTCCAGCATCACTGAAAAGCAGAGCACATGTTACAGGAATGTGATACTATTTTAGCTGTTAAGAAACTTAAGGACATAAAGTGTTTTGTTTTTTGTTTTTTTTTTTACATTTTAAAGATTAGGCTGATAATTTTTAGACGTTCTGAGCTTTAATTTGTTGGCGTTTCAACACGTTTGCTTCTGTAGTGTTTGGATTTTACATGTTGTGGGGCCTAGTTTCCGAGGTGGATTTTAACTGTTCAAGGCTGGACATCCGCTGTTTTTCTGCTTTGGTGGCCGTGATTGCTTGGCCCACCGGACGTGACTGGCAGAGATGGGGACTTTTTCACAGAACATTAGAAATTGGCTTCAAACAGCTAGCCAGACTTGAGTTCTGACCTTGAAAAACCCACATGATTCTTGGGGGAAAACAACAACAACAACAAAACAAACCCCAAACAAAAAACCAAAAAACAGAACCTGGATTGAAAATTGTTCACTAATTGTCCGCAGGTGCGTGCCTCATCATGCTGGGCCTGCCTGCCTTCCTCTTCCTGCTGCTGTTGATGTGTAGACAGAGAGAGCCCAGTCTTCTGAATTTCCCGCCTCCTCTGCCAGCTCTGTATGGTTTATGGGAAACCAGAGCGTTTGGGGTCTACGTCCTCTGGTTTTTTGTTCAGGCTCTGTTCTACTTACTGCCAATCGGGAAGGTAAGTTTTTGTTAGTGGTGCAGAGTCCTGGGAGGTTTTCCTCCCCTTTCTCCCACGTTTATATGAAGAAATTTACAGTGGTTTTAAGGTTAAAAGCCGTCCTTAGTCATAACTACCCCGGCTCACTTAGTAGTTAAGTTTTACTCTTGTATCTTATAGCACTTGCTTATTAAGTGGAACTTTAAAAATCGGATTGAGGTTTTTTTGTGTAACTTTCCAAGCCGAATAGAAAAGAATAAGCTATTTTGCAAAATAACCTAATGGTAGAGGTTGCTGGAAAAAAAAAATTCTGCTCAGTATACGTCATTTCAGATACCGAAGTTAAGGTGAACAGTTTTAACTATGAGCTGCTAAGCTCAGTGGACTTTAGCCTGCATCTTTTTTTTTTTTTTCTTAACGTGGTGAGTTTCAAATTTTCATCTCTTTCAGAAATGCGTTGTCAGGAACATTTTATGTTCAGACTTACGCAATATCTTTAAACTTTGTCCTCGTTGCTAAGTGTAGGTTTTTCTTCTTTTATTAGAATACTTGGATATATTTAAAGGAACAGGAGATTCTCTAAGTGATAAATAATTCATTTAGAGATCTTATTCTTAGGCCTTTGCAAGTTCACCGCTAGTTCACAAACCAGCATGTGAGGATTTGGCTAATTTCATAATTTCAAAGGTATTACATTTCTCCTGGGCTCCCTTTCGTAGTTACTGAAAGGGTAAAGCGGTTTAGCCCAAGAAAAATGATATCGTGTTACTATTTTCCAGTTTAGCATGAATTGCACCATTTCTAAGTAGTTGCTTTGGGTAGTAAAACGTGGCTGCCATCGAGCAAGTGGACATTTTATTTAACTCATCCCGTGGAAAGTCGTGTGTTAATCTCGAGTACCCGAGGTCTGGGGACATAGGGTGATCTGAGCAAAGCCATCCGTGGTCCCCATCCACGAAGTGCTCACTGTCTCTTATTGGAGGTAAAGAATCACATGAAATGAATAACTGAATAACCAGGTGAGTGTATATGTGTAAATAGCAGAGCAAGTCAGGACCTGAGTGCGTATCGCCACGTAGCACGTGGACCAGAGTGGAGGGGTAAGCGGGTTAGAGCCCAGTCGAACAGGACCTCAGCGATGCACGGCAGAAGAGCTGCTGTAGGAACAGTGGGAAGACGCCGAGGATTTTCGAGCTAGAGATCGACTAGACATAGAGGTTATTAAAGCTCGTTTAGTCACGTGGTGGCACAGGGGATGGTTGGCGGGAGGGTGGCTTTGGCGATGGTCACGTACACTGAGAAGTTCTTATCAGATTTATATTCGAGACTAACTCCTGAAGGTGGACTTGTTTCATCGAAGGGTTTGCTATTAAGGTGTTTGAAACCTGTTACTAAATTTTCCTACTAAAAGATGGTCCTCGTTCTTAGGCATGTTGAAATTTAAGTGGTATTAGAAGACATATGTATGATGGTAAAGTGTTGTGCTTTTTAAATTTTTAAATAAAAATTCTTTTTCTTTTAAGGTTGTAGAAGGAACACCTCTTACTGATGGAAGAAGACTGAAGTATAGATTAAATGGTGATTTATTTTTTAAAGACTCAAATTGGTGACTTGATAGCTCAAAACTTTTGAGTGCTGTGCTCTTTAAACTGTCAAAGCCGATTACACCAAAGTACTAAGTAGTAAATTATCTCTTAGATCTGAAGGGCATGCAGAGAAACTGTTCACACCTGCAGCCAACATGTAAAAGTTACACCATAGTAACTTAGCAAAGTAACATAGTCCCTCAGTCACTCTTT